AACAGACGACAGGTCAGATGGTCAGAGACCATGGCCAATTACAATTTTAAGATTTCATATGTCAAAGGATCAGAAAACGCTAGAGCCGACGCTCTTAGCCGAAAACCAGAATATCAAGAAAATAAGTCGTACGAATCGTACGCTATATTCAAGAAAGAAGGCGAATCACTGGTTTACAATGCACCACAGCTCGCAGCTACGCATACATTGGAAGACAACCATCTCAGGATCCAAATCCAATCATATTACGACCAAGATGCCACAGCTATACGCATACGCAAGACAATAGAACCAGGATTCACAATAGAAAACGAAACCATATACTTTCATGGGAAAGTATACATTCCGAGTCAAATGACCAAGGAATTTGTGACGGAACAACATGGGTTGCCGGCACATGGACATCAAGGAATTGCAAGGACGTTTGCAAGAATCCGGGAAATCAGTTATTTCCCGCGAATGAGAACGATAGTTGAAGAAGTTGTTGGAAGTTGCGACACCTGCATACGAAACAAGTCATCACGACATGCTCCGTATGGTCAGCTCCAGACCCCAGACATGCCTTCTCAGCCATGGAAGTCCATTACATGGGACTTTGTGGTTAAACTACCACTCTCAAAAGATCCTACTACAGGAATTGAGTACGACGCGATACTCAATGTAGTAGATAGACTAACAAAATTTGCATACATGATACCATTCAAGGAAACATGGGATGCTGAGCAACTAGCATATGTGTTCCTAAGGGGCATAGTAAGCATACACGGAGTACCAGATGAGATAATCTCGGATCGAGACAAGCTCTTTACCTCGAAATTCTGGACTACCTTGCTAGCACTTATGGGTATCAAGAGAAAGCTATCGACATCTTTCCACCCACAAACAGATGGTCAAACAGAGAGGACCAACCAGACAATGGAAGCATATCTTAGATGCTATGTAAATTATCGACAAGACAATTGGGTAGAACTATTACCTATGGCACAATTCGCATATAACACATCGGAAACGGAAACCACGAAAATCACCCCAGCACGAGCTAATTTTGGGTTTAATCCACAAGCGTATAAAATTCCGATACCACAAGAAGTTAATGCCGAATCAGCGATAGTACAAGTCGAACAGCTGAAAGATCTCCAAGAGCAACTGGCTCTTGATCTAAGATTCATATCTTCCAGAACAGCAGCGTACTACAATACGAAACGTAGTATGGAACCTACGCTTAAAGAGGGGGATAAAGTTTATCTGCTACGACGAAACATCGAAACCAAGAGACCAAGCAATAAACTCGACCACAGGAAACTGGGACCATTCAAGATTGATAAGGTAATAGGAACGGTCAATTATCGGTTAAAACTACCAGACACGATGAATATCCACCCAGTATTCCACATATCCTTACTCGAACCAGCACCACCAGGAGCGCCGAAAGCGCCATTTACAGAAATCGAACCAGTCAACCCGAACGCCATATATGATGTCGAAACAATACTAGATTGTAAATACGTCAGAGGCACAATCAAATATTTGATCAAATGGTTAGATTACCCACACACCGAAAATTCATGGGAACCAAGAACAAACCTCAACTGCCCTGAGAAGTTGGAGGCGTTCCACCAGCAATATCCGGATTTGCCCAGAAAGAAGGAGAATCCATTGAAGCAAGGATCGAAGGATCCAAGGAAGAAGAATCGAAAACAAAGGAACCGTCGATAGGGCCAGCAACAGAGACAGACGCCAATTCCTTTTCTTTTTCAACACGCTCATTTTCTAACCTTTCCTTCTCTTCTAGAGCATCGAGCTCATCTAAAGTACGCAGACCACGGCGCAGCATATCGGATTCACGCTTCAACAAAGCACGCTTTTGTTTCCGCAGACGAAGAACTTTAGCCATCGCTTCCTGAGAAACACTTATAGCGCGTTCTTCTTCCTCCTCAAGTCTGGCCTTTTGGCGGTCCAGACTATCCCAATCACTATCAGAAGGGCCACGAACGTCACATCTACGCCCTCGGCGGATACATTCAGCACACCGGGAAGAGTCCGGAGAAGATACAACACATTTGCGCTCTTGGCGTTCACACAAAGAACAAGACGACATTTCGAGACCGCGAGATTCAACAAGACGAGCTAAGCGCAATCTTTCCTTTCGTTTGTGAAAATTATCAGTCATATTGAGAGAAACAAACCATAGTACGACTATATTCCGAAGTGGGGTAAGCCGTTACTATATAACGCTTGGGACAAGCGCTAGGATAAGAAGGGGATAGTGTTACGACGGCATCCAACATACCGCGTCACATGACATAAATTACACGTGATGGAGCGTCAAGGAGCTTCAGCGCTCCTGGAGCGCGTTGCGATCCTTAACGATCCAACATATAGGAGAGGTCCTAGGGACCAGGAGAGAGAACGAAGGTCTATATAAGGGAATGGGTTTCATTACAATGTAGAGCTTCGTGCTCAAGAACAATCATTAGTTTCATTACTATAGTTACGAGAATTGCAACCAGTTACCAACCTTATTGAATTCCTACTTGAAGTTTAGTCTAAACCACCTCGAGAGAACTCTAGACACTTCCACGTGACCCTAGAGGCAGCTCCCGTAACATGAATAATAATTATTAGTTTTTAAAATCTGATTATCAAATAAACCTTAATTTTAACATATTTTTAAAGTAGTCTATATGATAATATGATTTATATACCTATAAATCATATTAATACTTTATATTAGATACTCACGTAGTTTATGAGTAAGTATATTATATTAGTATATAGATAACTTAATTTACATATAAAATTCATCTATACGTAATCGTACACCTTTATTTATTAATAGAATTTTCACAAAATTTATTATAAAATATTTAAATATATATAGATTGTCACGTGTAGATTTTAAAGATCTAATTGATTTTAAGAAATCCAAACTTATATAGTAGTTACTATAGAGATTGTTTTTTTTAATCGAATACCTTAATAAAATCTACTTTTTATTAAATTAAATAGAAATATTAACACTGAATATATAAAAATTAGATTTTTTGAAAAGCTAATATTTTTTTATTATTTGACATAGTTTCTGTTTTGAAAAATAATATTTAGTTTCTAAAATCTCACTATTAAAAAATGCTCGATTTTAGTATACTTTTAAAGTAACTCACTTATTGATATGACCTACTTACTAATAAACTACGTTATGTAAATAGATTAATAAAATAATGAGATATCTTTTTCTTATAGTTCTTTAATAATTGAATGGGTTTGTTGTATCTTGTGTTTTTTCTATGTTTTCTAGGGTTTTTAATGGATATTAGTTGTAGGGTTGATCTAAGAGGGATATGTTTTAGAGGGAAGAGGAGTTGGGGAGTTGGAGAAAGGGGGGGCTTTCTGAATTCCTTCTTGATAGATTTTGTGTGTGCGCGATGGATTGAAATGTGGGATGAGAGACGCGGGATGCGGGATGCGGGATAGAAGCTTCTTGGGGGGTTTCAGATTTTTGTTTGTACTGTTTGTGCTATGGGATTCTTGGAGAGATGAAGAGGGAGATGGAGACGGACATGAAGGAAGTGGAATAAGCGAGATTGGGTATCTGGGAGCTAGATAGACATTTGAGTCTTTTATAGCAGTGATGATGATATCGAGGTAGTGCTATTCGAAATGAAGAATACAGACAAGCAGGTGAAGAATTTGTAAAGGGGGGGGTTCAAGGCTGTATATGATGGCTTTTGTGTGTGAAGCTGGAGATTTGGAGAGGGAAATTTTGGTCGTCTAGGTACAGGTACAGGTAGCTATGGTGTGTGGTGGTGGTTTTGTGAATGGTATTTGAGGGGTTATTGTTTTAATGGTGTCTGTGTGCTAGTGTCGATTTGTATGATTTGGTCGTCGTGAGGATAGTTTGTGGTGGTGAAGATGATGTGTGGTGAGGATGATAAATTTCTCAATGAAAATAATGGAATTTGTTCGCGAGGGAAGGATATCTGGAATGAAGTAGTAGAGTTGAATTGTTAACATCATGTTGAAAATTGATTATCTGATTTTTGTTTCCTTCCTCTTGCTTTTTGAGAAATCTTCTGGTAGATTTCGGGTGTGTCTAGTTTCTGCATCTGATCTAGTGCTCGTAATAGTTGGTTTTCGTACTTCTTTCAAAACCCTCTCCCCGAGTCAGCCTGGCCAATGGTTTCTACAACCCAGCTGTATCACCCTCTCCCACTTATTATGAGCACTGATCTGACATAATTCTGACCCAAAGAAATAGATTTTGACGGAAAACAGGCAATTATGTTGATCTAACAGGTACAGTGAGAGCATAAAAGGGAAGGAACGCACTTGCATTCAGACAGAGTAGCAGCGACAATTTAGCCACTCCCAAATCCCAAGAACGTCGATGACATGTTCATAAGTTGACACAACACGATGAACATTGTACCAACTCGGTAATTATGAAATGCCTTCGCGATTTGATGGATCTTCTAGGCGTCTTTCGAAAGTAACTTGGATAAATTGGGGTATGTATAATGTGTTTTTTATATGTACTGAGAGAAGAAAGCAGCCTTTGAATGTGGTAGAAAGCGGATGCAGTGTATTGATTGCATGCGTAATAGCAAAGCCGATGATTTTGAATGATGTTGAGAGTTGCATTGTCATGATATATCGGTCGTGGTGTGCTAACCTTCACATTCTGATTAACCAGTCTCTGGCCTTAGAGAGATGTTAGGAAGAGGATGAGTTGTAAGCGGAAGTGGCTGCCACTTCTCGGGGCGTTTTGATTGGTTATTAAAGAGTTCGTCCAATTGAAAGAAGGAATCGACAAAACACCAATGGTGTGTGAACACGAGGTTGAACAGTCTATTGGTTACAAAATGTAATTAGTGCACAGCCTCGGCGTACGTATACCATACACATAAAAAGGTCTTTATCTATCGTCGCATCAAGACAGACTGCATTCAACATTGAAATAAATCGCGAATACTCTCCATTTCGCTTTGAGCATTGCTAATATGTTTATATCGTCGACTTCTGGATCACTACAGTCACGTCTCCCACCACGTAGGAAGAAACTTCCATCGCTTTCTCCAATTTGTCCAAAATGCCAGGAATTTCTAGATTCACGCAACTTTCGACCTCGTGTTATTTCACGTCATTCCGATAGGCTTAAGCTACCGACTCCTCTTGTCATGGAAAATTGCTTTTTATGCTCACAGTTTTTGGGCGTGTCCCTTGCTGACCCTGCAGATCAAGCCATGTATATCGAAGCTCTGAGACTCAATCCTCAACATGTTTTGAGTGGTGTATCTCAGCAATGTTCATTGTCTTATAGCGTTGGTCCGTACAAGATTTATAGAGTGTTTCCCTCTGCCTATCATCCTACTGTCGAGGAATGCGGAAACAGGCGCAACATTGTGTCTCCAGAGCCACAGGAACTCGGCGTATGTTCGCAAAATCGTGGGTGATAAACAGACTTTCATGAAATATCTTTAAATGCTGACAACACTCATCTCAGGACTCGCTGGATTAGAGAGTTTTGTCTCAGTAGCTTCTTCTACAGGATCTGATGGGAGTCTGAATCTTTCAAAACAATGGTTACAGAACTGCGATGAAAACCATGTTTCCTGCTCACGTAACGCTACCACGTACCCATATTTCCTTCCTACCCGTCTCGTTGATATCGGAATAGAAGAACCAGCGATTACCCCACGGCTTCGTTTAAGAAAAGATATTCCACCAGATTCAGTCTACTTCACTTTAAGTCATTGCTGGGGTAAAACTATGCCAAAAATTATTCTTCTTCAGTCAAATGTCGAGTTTATGCTTCATGAGATAAACTTTTCGCAGCTTTCAAATACCTTCCAGGACGCATTATGGGTAGTCCGGAATTAGGAGGACGATACATCTGGATTGATTCATTATGCATTGTTCAAGATTCCGAGACCGATTGGTTAGTAGAATCCGCCAGTATGTGTGATGTCTATTCGAATAGTTACTGCAATATCTGTGCCACGGCTGCAAGCGATGGCAGTGAGGGAATGTTCCGTGATAGAGAGCCATTACAAGTACAGCAGGGTTGGTTTCAAACAGCTAGCGATAACGAAAATCACTGTGTCATTGACGTATTTGCTTGGGAAAAAGAGGTGGAAAAAGGTTTTTTATCCTCTAGGGCTTGGGTCTTCCAAGAACGACTATTGTCTAGACGAAATCTTCACTTTGGATCTAGACAGTTATTTTGGGAATGTATAGATCATGAAGCTTCTGAAACATTACCCAGGGGCATTCCAGAACTGGTCATTAAAGGCTCCGGTGTGAAACCCCGAGTCAAAGTACTTTTCAATGGTATCGACAAATACAAATCAAACAGGTATTCCGAAAGTGTACAAATCTGGGAGGAAATTGTAACATTGTATATGAAAAGCAACTTGACTTTCAAAACGGACAGACTTGTTGCAATCGGTGGAATGGCAAGCGCAGCGTCTCAAACCATAGCGGGAAAATACTTAGCGGGAGTATGGGAAAAACACCTGCTGCATGGTATTCTTTGGAAGGCTCTAAATTACCCGTCCAATCTTTCCAAATTTACTCAAGCTCCCCTAGAGGTGCAAGATTTTACCGCCCCCAGCTGGTCTTGGGCCTCTTTCGATGCAGAAATAGAATTTCCTCCAAGGGTGCGAAGAAGTGGAGGTACCCAGCAATTTGTTCATGTCCTAGAAGCACATGCGGATCTAGCAATTGATAATCCATTTGGGAAAGCATGTGGTGGATATATCAAACTCAAGGGAGATATCGCCTGCACTACTTATAGCCGCCCAAGATTTCTCGGCTGGGGGAAATGGGGTGAAGGTTTTGAGGATTACTTCGGACGAGATGTTAAAGGATTGGGAGTTTGTAGCCGAACAATCGCTTATTTTGACTTTGAAGATATGTCAGAAATTGACCGCCAGATAATGTATATTCTTCCTGTCTGTAAATTCCGCATGAAGTTTATTGATACTTGGGAGACTAGGGGTCTCATACTATTTCCGATTAACAAAGCGAGATGGGAGTTTCGAAGGTGTGGTATGTTTACATATTATAATCATGCCGAGCACAATGATATGATGTATGAATGTACATCTTTCAGCCGCTGTCAGGAACGTGAATCGACCGAATTTGGTCTACAAGATGACGGAAAATTTATTATCAAGTTATTCTGATAACTTATGTTATTTTGACGTGTAATCTCAAATTCGGTCAGATTATAATCCGTCAAGTTATTGCTCAAATAATTGTGCCTGATTCACGATTGCTTGGAGCTTTGTGAAAAATTGACGCGTTCATAACAAACTTTAGCACCAAATCAAGATTCGTTCTGCCAGAATCTATATCACAGTCTGCTTTTTGAAAGGAAAGGAATGCAAGGGGTGTATAATTCTATATGGTAGACCCGATAGGTATGGTTTCATTCTGACATGCTTGTCAATTTTGGCTTTTGTATATCATGTTCGTTATCATAAGCCGCTGAAATTGACCATCAAATAGTCCGTGGAATATTAGCATGCTAAGAATGTGACATGATATAATCCTCATACATTTCTACTTGAGTCAAAAGGTCGCAGCTCCAGAAGAAGTTCTATCTCACTCACTGTCTTTCTTTGCAATATCCAACTACTAGATACCGAAAATTTGAGTCTCTCTAATGATCGTCTGATTCTTGAATCATATTCCTGGGGACACATCCACTTTTCATTTTTATTCTGGCATGGTTTGTTCTGGCATCTTCACTTTCTCTGAAATGCGCTATATCTCTATTAGTCTAGCACTTGACTACTTGCTCGTCTATATAACCGAGAATCTGGGTATTGATCTATGTGGATTAGGTTTGATTCTTTCCGTTCGGGGATAGTTGGTGATAGGATAGGTGCTTGAGATTTTTTGATAATTGAGCTTGAGGTCGGAGTTAGAGGTTGAAAGGGTTGTTTGCACTTTGCGGGTTGTACTTGATATGTGGTGTTTGGGGTAGTGATTATGATTATGAGAGTGGGGAAAATTAACGAGTTCTGGGCCTCGCTTATTTTTCTATGGGTAATGAAGAAATAGATATGATGGAAGTCTAAGGGGTAAGTAGGAGATGGGTAGGAAAGTAGAGAGGTGAGAAAAGGGGGGGACCAGGAGACAGGGGTTGGGGTTGAGATGAGGAGTAGCTAGTCTACTAAAGTGGAAGTGGATTACAAGAAGCGAGATAGCGGTGGCTGATTATGTGGGACAGGGCTAGGATTAGGTTATTTGTTGGAACAGCTATCGAATTTTGGTGAGGTTTGAGATGGAAGTGGACGAAGCAGCGGAGTTCTCACCGTATCTAATTTCGAGACAATCATAGCTAAATGCTACCAAGAGATCAAAATCGAATTCTGGATTGCAGAATTAAAGTACTTGAAGGACGCAAAAATTTAAGTAGCATCATGTACTTGGATTCTCGTGATTTTTTCTATCCATGGATACTGGAATAATAGTCAAGAATCATGTGCAAAAACGAGATCAAAGAGCCCCACTGGAAGGTAAGAACTATTCCTTATTCACTACACACTTGGGGTCTTAGGCTGGAAAATTCCTCAAACCACAGTATTTATTATGACTAGGACTGAAATTCGTTCTATTCTTGTAAGGCGCGAAAGCAGATGCATTACAAGCGCGAAGGAAGATAGAGAGCTTGTAATTTCACAAGACGATAAATAGTATGTATTCAATTCTACAAAAGGGTCTAGGAGGGAGTGGAATGATTATCCAAATTTCGACGTGGAAGAGATCAGTTTATTATTGTCAAGAAACACTTACTCATTGCATGATATTTCCATGTGTGTAAGTGTCAGTAAAGACCTTCTCAAAATATCAGTTGAGATTGGACTAGATAATGCATGGAATGAAATTTGAGCTGAGAGGTATCCTAGAAGCTCGAGGTAGGATGGCATGTCAATACGCTAAATGAACAGAGTAGATGCATCTTAATAGCTTTGTGAACATTATGAGAGTTCGAGTAAGAACTGGAAGGGGTTTTATACCTGTGATTTTTGAAAATTCCGACGAGGCTGGTTGATAGTTTGTCTTGAATCACTGCTCATATGTATGTTCCCGAAAGATCAAGCCAAACTCCTTAGTTGATTAAGGATCTTAGCGAAAAAATATTGCTTGGGGTATTTGAATACCTTGGATACTTTGATTGAATAATGCGGACAAGTAAGAAATCTAGGAACACTCCACGAGTACTGGGACTAGGACGACTAAAGAGCTGAGATGATATTGTAATTGCGTTTGATATAAGGAGATGGAAGTTCAAGGTTCAAGCAGGACTGTTGAATTGAAAGAATGATAGGGAATAAATGTTGGCGGTGAAAACTTCGGCGGTGGATATTGAGCATGATGATTGGTTTCGGTGGCAAACAAGCTTGACTGATTATAGACAGTTTCACGTGCTTGTATCTAGTAAGTTTTCCTCTATGTATATCTTTAGTGTTCCTGGACCTGGTCGCTGAGATCCAGTCACAGACAACAATTATCATCAAGACTGTGTGGAGAAATGGGTACTCTGTCGAAAGAAGAAGAAAGTAGTGTGAGTATTTATGATATTTTGGTCTTGACTTCTTCGGATTTGCCGGATACTTAGGAATGAAGTGTGGCATACTAAGAAAGCTTGAACGGGAGGTTACATAGTACTTTTCACCAGTCTGAAAATCTAGACTTTTAGAAAAGAATGGTAGTTCCAAAAGTTAAGGAAATTTGTTTGTATTGAATTCTCTGAACTAGGGAGGATGTAGGCCTTTCAGTGGCATTCTGGAGTATAAGATTCACCAAGAGCCGATTTGTCTGGAACAAAATGAGAACAATGTCCGAAGCCTGTCCTAGTAAGTGAAATAACTATTGCAATTCAGATTTTAAGTCTGAGTTTTATGCTGTTTTTCAACCAGGTGCCAGTAAAAATGACATGTCATAAGAGGCAGGTGTATGGTAAAATGCGTAGTGCGACAACAAGAGGAAAGCTTTGGCGATACTCTCTCTAATGTACTTCATGGAGTTTGGCAACAATAATCTGCGAATAATAAAAAATGGCAATCGAATATCTGCATGTGAACTCTGTAAGCAATCCTGGCTCAACAGAAGTCTAGCTGGGAACCAGATCTTGATGGGTGAAGTGCGGCATGCATCGGCGTGTTGAAATTGAGTATGTTTTCTTGTAGGATTTCAAGATAAGAATATTCTGCCTTTATATGATAACTGCTTGTAACTTATTTCAAAATTTGGTAGGGAACATAGTCATGAGAATCTGTAATCTCGCGTCTGAAAGCACTGGCTGTGCTCACTATATAATCTCAACAAAAATGTCTGCAAAGAATGTTGTACAAGAAAATAACGGAAATGTTTCGGGACCAAGGATTAAGCACTGAGAAGGTTGTCTAGTATCGTCTCCAACAGAACTTGTCTTCCTTTCCTGTTTTGAAGTTGCCTACTACTAGGCATATAGTACCAGTAAATTTCTCACTGTCATAATCTGTCATGAGAACAATTAACGAGCTTCGACAACAAAAAATTCCTGTTGGTGACAAAAGCTCGAGCCCCGCTTCAAGAATAAAAGATACAAGTCCTTGTCTTGGGCCGAGGCTATGGAGATAAGAAGAAAAGTAACTGCTGAAACACAACTAAGTGCTACAAATCAATTCCTCAAATATGGTCATCGGCGGCATAACACGTTTTGGTCGTTCGTAGGTGTAACTTCTTGGCTTTTAATAGACGAAGGCCTGGGAAACGAGTCAGAGGGGCGGTAAATTCCAGTGTCAAAATGTCCGAACCAAGAGAAAGGTATTTTAAGCGAAAAAGTGCTTTAGATTCGTCGTTTGATATCGAGATCATATATCACTATATGTATAAGGTTTAATGTGGCAGTCGTATCATCCTTCAGAGCTAAGCAACCTTACTCAAGCCGCTCAAGATTATCTTCACAGCGTCGTCAAAAAACGGTATATTACAGGTTGATGATTGGCAAAGTTATTGTCGTATATGTAAGATTACTAGCATTGTCGATGAATAAAGCCGGTGACTAGAATAATGCGCGATAGCAGTGACGATATGAAACAATAAGATAATAACAAAATCCTCATCATAACTTGTTTATTTTGGAGCACAACTAAAGCTGTGATGAGAGCTTTCGTCCTTCAGACGCTTCCGCTTGGGAATAGTTCCGAGTTCTTCTGTAAACCTGAGCTTTTCGTTCTTGAGGCGGCTATGATCGCTCTTGATGGCCTTATGGGCGGAAGGGGCTTTGCTTTGGATACATGAAAGACCTATGAAGTAAAGACGTACCCATTGGATTGTGTATTACGTGAAAGTTACAATCCAGAGTAAGAAGGACTTTGAGACCCACTTTTCAACAAGCAAAAAAAAGATTTTCTAAGATGTTTTGAAGTTTGAGGTGGATGTTGATCAAATTTCTGGAGTTGAGAGTAAGTCAAAATAGAAGATATTTATTTCGAAAACACACACTCTCTGGATCTGACATTGTAATGTAACGTATGATAGCCCCTGATTAATCTCATGGTACCAACGAACGCGGGTTGGTCCCTGAATATCAACGAGGCTAGTCAGATAAGAGTTTGAGCCATCACTCACCACACACTGAGCGATTTCGTAATAGAATCCCCGCAAAAAAGCTGTTTTCCTATATGAACTATCATATTAAATAATTTTTTAATCAATAAGAAAAAATTATTGAAATTTGTATAATAATATTCAATTATAATTGAAAGAAGGAAAAAATGACTGAAATATTTTTCGCTATTCTTATAATTAAAAATTAAAGCTTTAAAATTAATTTTTTGGAAAATTATTAACTAATAATGTTTTTTCCATATAAAATATACAATCTTTTAAGGATTTTCATATTGTTCTCTTTCACATTATTGAAATTCTATGAAATAAAATAGAGTTTTTATTATTATTAAAGTAATTTGACCAATTATCAATAAAATGTTGAAGTTTTTCTCAATTTTAATAATATTTGAAGAAAAAGATAGGGATTCAAAAGTTGAAAATATGATCATTCTTGGTGTAAAATCGCTTAGGGTGCGGTGAGTGATGGCTCAAACTCTTACCTTTCCTTCATACCTAAGCAAGCAATGAAGAACATATAAGCAACCCAAATACGCTTCAAATATCTTACCTACAGTCGTTAAACAGCAAGATTTACCAGGATTAGAAGCGGTCACATTTAGAACTGGGATTATTGAATAGATTGTGATAAGTGAACAACCTTAAAAGAACTACTGGGTTAAACGAAAAGCATCTGCTGCACAAGAAGACAAGTACAAAAGAAGATAGTCACTGGATACATGACCCGAGCTGCAGTTTTAACTTTTCGAGTCCAATATTCGAAGAATCTCTATACTCCCCTTAAGCGAGACCCCTCATTTGCCCCACTTCTTTCCAGTACAAACACTTGTAAACAAACACCCCAAAATCCGGATGACTTCCATCAAAGTTCTTTCCACTTACTCTATCTACAGAGGTTCAGTGTAAAAAATAACAAAAAATATCCCGTGCAGGGTTTGAACCTGCGATCTTCTGTGTTCTTTGAAAACTCATGTGAGAATTCTGTGAGACAGATGGCATGACCACTAGCCCAACGAGATTTCTTGATTGGTTGTTTGATTGCTTTGATATTTCGGATTTATAACCTAGACCTATAAATGATATAAATTAGACTTGGGTTGAAGGAGTTGGTTTGGAGGGGAGGGGAAAGATTTTTCATCCACAGAGTGACCAATTGAAGGAGCTAGGATTCCGTTGAAAAAGAATCTATACTTATGGTTCTACTTCTACATCTTTGAATGCTACAAATGAAATGAAATGATACATCGTCAAGATTTATTGGCTAGTTTTTACACTTAAGGTATATGTCTTTTGGTATGGCAGCCAATCTTGTTCTCAAAAATAGAGCTTTCCATTTTCAACAAGCGCAACAGCAACAGCAAGAAAAATGGGGGATCACAATGCCAATATGCCATTATTCTATTGAATAAACTGTTAACATTCACTCGACCAAAGCATTTGTCATCTTTCACACCAACTCGGCAGCACGAATCCGCCGTGCACAGTTGTGGCGCTCAAGATACACTAGGGAAAGTCGTCGAAAGCTTGAGTCAAATTGAGTGGTAGCAATTTGTAAGACTTTCATATCCTGTGCTTTCTGTCGTGCTATCTGTAAGAACGTTGTGCTTGGAGAGTCAGTACAGCATCCAGTGCCCATAATACTAAAGAGAATGTCGCAGAAGTCCTTCGGGCCCTATTAGACGGCTGGCGAAGACATGGAGATTGAGTCAGTGTATACTGCTGACACAATTGAAAGTGCAGATGAAGGGTTCATAGCCTCAAGTAAAAAGAGCCTATGATTTCACATGGGTGTAATCTTAGTCACTCCCTAGGAATATTCTGACTTAAAGGAGACGAGAAATCCTTTTCTTCTCGAGACATCTGTATTCTTTGATAAGCTTTGCAATCATTTCCGATAGATTATCGGAGTGATACCACCGTATATTGAGAATCCTTGACTGTCGCCGTGAGATTTCCTCCGTTATATCCAGCCAATACCCGCCCAACGCGTTGGTAAACTAGTATTGTCCTAACGATGAGAAAGTTATGAGATTTCTACATTATCCACATGGCGACAAAGTCGTCATGTATTACAGTGAACGAGGCCTACAAACAGCTTAGAGCACAAGCATCTAGAAAGTGTCAATCGTTTCATCTTCACTTTATTTTCGGACCTCAATTTTTTAAAGTTTGTTTCTGTATGGTTTCTGTATTATCTAAGTATCTTGGCAGGTCAAAGTTTACTGTTTGGTTTTCTTGCTTATATTGACATCGTAAAACTTTCAGGCCACATAATAGAATGTCAGATGATTGCAACAATTTCATCATCTTCTTCATGGTTCATTCATTTTCAATTCGATTTGGAGAGCTTTGCGCCATTCACTAACTGGCATATACTTTCATGAATGTTCAATTTGTGTAATAGGTTTTATTTTGATTATCATGGTATTATATCACGGAATATCCGAATCATTCCTGTTACAATACCTTTACCTAGCTACAATTTTCCCATAATAACAGCTACCCTGTGGCATCAATGCAATGTGACAACCAACACCGCAATAAAATAATTATTATTCCTCCGAACATCCTGTTCCACTCCCCAAAAATGTCATACCAATCACATCCATATTACAACAGATAGATCTTGTATGATTGTAGTAGACGAAAATCTGGTTCCCGTCGAAAAGATTAACGTTTCTTTAAGAAAAGCTTTCTATAAAGACGACGAAGTCTTAATTCATCCTCGCTGTTTATAGGGATATCCCACTTACCATCGAGACCCAAAACCTCGTATGCCAAGGTCCAGTTGCGAATCTTCAGCTGATATGCGACGATAGTAAGGCAGAGTTGCTTATAACTATAGTGGTCGTCGGGACGGGCGATTACCTCCACTTTTTTGAGATGGAAGCTGTTCAAAACAAAGATGACCATGGAAACTCTAGCAAGCCTACCCTTGCACGTCGCGATATTGCGATGCTGTCTGGGAGCCTTGATGAGAATCTTGACGTTTCTGATAATCTCCGCGTAATCCATAAGAGCTTGTAAGAGAGCTCCAATATCTGGGGGTGACTCCGGCTGAGAGAAATCGAGGTCGATAATCATCTGAACGTTGTCGCCGGTCTTCTTAAGGGTCAAGGCGGGGTGTTGACGAAGGGTCGAGAAGTCGAACTCTAGAACATTAGATCCATTGATAGCAATTTCATCCTGTTGAACAGGTTGCTCTGCTTGAACAGGTTGCTCTGCTTGGACAGGTTCAGTTTGTTGGGCAAGTTCATCCTGTTGGGCAAGGTGCTCCACTTGAACAGGTTCATCTTGTTGGGCAAGTTGCTCTACTTGAACAGGTTCATCTTGTTGAGTAGGCTGCTCTACTTTGACGGCTTGCTCTGCTTGGACAGATTGACTGCCATCGCCATGGTTGATGTCAGTCTGCTCGCCTTGGATGGATTGGCTACCATCATCGTGGTAGTTGCGAGTCATCTCTACTTTGGAAAGAATCGGTCGGTAAATAAGAGGTTAAAGGTTTGAGTGAAAGTAATTCTCGGATAGGAAGTTTCTTGAGTATGGGAAGATGTTTGAATTTTTGTTCCTTCTAAAAGATGGATATGGATGTTCTTATAGAAGTATTTGTTATTGCGGGGTATATTGTCATTTAATTTCAGAGTGAAATATACGAATAGGTACAGCCACCTATGCTAGGGGCCGTAGTATCCAATCGAATCAAAAGTTTAATTTATAAGCAAAGCTGTCACATATCTATATTCACTACGGCCTCTTAAATATTTTAGATTGTTTTAGCATCATTCCTCACTTCCAAGGCCTGACAATTAAACGCTTCTTGCAGGCATGGAGACTGAAATCTCGGGTTCTAAGTAAGCTCTCGAACGTCAACCAAGCGTCCATTCTTAATTTTTTAGACTTTGAAGTATCGTGGTGGAATTGGATAAGGCAGTTAATAGAGTTACCAGGATTGATAGTTATGAATTCACGGATCAATTTTGTTGCAATAAGATGTTGAATTTTCTGTCTTTGAATAAGAATCTAAACCCCATCTATGTCAACTAGCATCACTTACTCCAAGATTTCTCACTTTAAAGCTAGACGTAGTTGCTGACTCTATTAGGGCATCGAAAGTATCAATATTTCCAAACTCTAAGTCTTCATTTATGGAAATCTATCTGTTGGGATAGGGATCATGTGACTACGCTAGCGTTGACGCTAGCGTCTTCCGACACTACAGCAATACGTTTTGTAGCCCTAGCTTTTAGAACCTTAAGCAATATAACAACAGTGTAAATCATAATACTATATTGACTTTATTATTTTTATAATAATATTAACATTGATTAATAATATTATAGATTAGAAGCCTAACATCTTAATTTTAATTATAATATATAATTTTAATTAAGATTGATATTTCTTTAAAGAAATATAAACTCTTATATTATTCCAGCATAATTTGATATTTGTCTTTATATAGATAAGAATAATTAATAATGTAGTAATAGTTTTTATACTAATTTTAATTTATATCTTATTCTTTATTATAATATATATTAAAGAATAAGAATTAATAATATTCAGCTCAAGCTTAGTATTATACTCTTTGAATTTAAACTTTACTATATCTTAACAAAATTAATATTTTACTATTTACTTGTTATTCATTAAATACAATAGAATTATTTATAAATTCTTTTATATTTTAAGAATATTATATAAAAAATGTCGAATATTTAGCTCTAGAATAACTTAACAACACTAAGTTTATTAAATCCATTACTGAATTTCTAATTCCATTAGAGATTATGCCTAACGATTATAAATTAATGATAAATCGATAAGAAGATTATCCTTTCGATATTTATTATATAAATAAAAGGGAAATACAAGATTTCTATAAATATAAATTATATAAATATAAATTCAGTAATTTTTATAATAAAAAGTTATAATTGGATTATATTATAAATTTTAAACTTTTTAAACTAGAGTATTTTCTATTCGCTAAAATATAATTATTATATAAGTTATAATATAAACTTTATATATATAGATTACTTATTATAAAGTATACTATCTATTTAAAGTGAATAATTAATAAAACACTAGTCAATATACAATTCATAATATTCCAATAATAATTAAATTCTGAAATTACAAATACTCTTAAAAAAAAAGGTTTCAATTTCAATCACCAAGTATACTTAAAAGAATTACAAAAAAGTTAAAAGTATTACTAATTATTCCCAAAATAATTAAAATAAAGAATTTAATTAGACAAACTATTCATAATTAAGATAGACTTCTACAATTCTTAAATACTACATTTAAACTATTAAGTATTAATCTATATCGAAATAATAATAAGAATAAAAGTATTAAGAAATATAAACTATATATCCCTTTTCCATTAAAATTATTATTATAATAACAAATACTAATGATTCAAGACTATATCATCAATCTCCCTATCAACTTATTATTTATAAAAGAGTATTATAATCTAATAAAACTAATACCTATTTAATCTACTCAACAATTCAATATTAAAGCCATCCCAATACCACCATAATTATACTCTCAATTTAATCTCCAAAATTTTAATTAAAAACAATCAAAACCAATTCTAACAAAGATATAAATATTCTATTAATTCGATAATAATATAATTCTACAACAACAAGTCAAACAATCAATCAATAATCCACCTCATAATAACAATAATATAAATAAAAGAAAAGGAAATAATATAAATAAAAGAAATAATATTCTAAATTAAAATTAACATTATAAAAGTAAAGAAGGAAATGATCTAAAAGATATCAATATTATTTAAAACATTTTATCTCCTTAGAAATCTATAAATATTAATTAGCTTTTAAATAACCTTATAAAACTTTATAATAAAGTTAACAAATATAATAATTAAAATAACAATTTTGCTTACAAATTCTCGATTTTTTTTAACAATTATAAATATATCAATATATTTGTATTATTATTAAAAAATATATTTTTTATTATACTTATTAATATTATATTTAACTTTTACTATATAAATCTAGATAACTTATTCAATATAATAATTAGAATTTATAATTTAATAATATCTATATTTAAAGGTTCAAAATATAAGCACAACCTTATACAATAATAAGAAACTATTATACTTAAGAATATAATAATAAAACCAAATAATAATAAAAAGATAATATTTTAATATCTACAATTTATAATTATGAAATTTTGTTATATATATAAAGGATTTAGCTTTATAATAAAAACAGAAGAATTACTTTATTAAAAGATTATTATTATATACACTCTAATATAAACATACTCTCTAACTTATTTTCGCTTTACTAAAGACACTCTAAATCTTTTAAAAAAGTTATATTCAATTATTATAATATAGGAACAAGCTTATTCTAATAAAGCCATAACATTCTATATTAATTATAAATATTATTACAATTAAGATAAATATAATTAAAGTAAAGGTTTTGAATAAGATAATTAATATTTATTTAAATTATACATAAAGAAAAAATACTTTATTTATAAGAAGAAAGATTGCTAATCAATTTAATATAATAAAGAGGAATATAAGGAATCCTGATATAAATATAAGAAACAATTTAAGAGTAATAATTTCGATAAAAGCTTTAAACAATTTCTTATTGAATATAAAGGATTTATTGAAGATTCTAACTCTAATACAAACAGTGAAGTTGTAGCTTATTTCATAAAATTCGAACTTCAAAACCCATTTGTATAAAAACCATATTTAAGCTTCATTACCTAGAATAAATTTGTAAATAAATAAAATATTGTTAAGGACCTATTCAATAAATTCCTTATATATATTTTAATATATTAATCTCAATCTAAGAGTACAATATATATTAATAGATATAATATAAGAGAATTTCAAGGAATTATTATTAATATAGCTATAATATAATGATTAATAATAGGTTATGAACAATATATAAGACGACAATTAAGGATATTATCTTATATATAAAAATAGTAGGAGTTGTAAATATAGTATTCAGAATTAATAAAGTTAAATCGATTGATTTAATACAATTAAACTTACTATTAGAAATTATTGAATTTTATATTATAAATATAGAAACATTATTCTTATTATTTCTTAAAGATATAAACAAATTTGATATATTATAATAACATTCTTGATATGATTATTATAAGTAATATAGAAGAACAATTCTTATATATTTGTTATAATAGATATATAATACTTTTATAATATATAAATGTATAATAATTTATATAACAAATTATTAATAATAATATATACTACTTTATTAATATAAAACTATAACATTTATATTACTACTTTGGTTATTTATTAGTATATAAACTTTTATAAGTATTCTAATAAACTGGTTATAATAATATTATATAAGTCGAGATTAATAAATTTATTAAGTTCTATTAATATTATCAAAAGTATAGAAAATCATTAGATCGATTCAAGTTTAATTTATAAGATAATATTGATTTCAATTATTTAATTATAATAAATATAATATATATCAATATTAATTCTATTCTATATATTATTAATAAAGGTATACAATTTCAAATAGTATAATAATTAGATAATATTATTATGAAGTATATTTTTAATACATTTTGAAAATATTAAATAAATATTTATATCAATCCCCTAGATTATATTATATATAATATTAAAAAGAACTTTATTAGTAAGGAATTCATATAATATATAACAATTATATTGATTAAAATAAAGAATGTATTGATTAAAGTTTATTAATTAATTAGAATTGTTGAACATTATTATATAATTATTAAACGAGTGTATAATATTATTGTTGACGAATTAAGAAATTCTATAATAAAAGAGATGATATTATAAATAATTATTAAAGTAGTAAACAATATTATAGAATTAAACAGACTAGTTCTAATATTCTTAATATTTAGAATATATTTACAAATAATTAATCTCGATTTATTAGTACTTATAGTTTTATAATAATAGATTATAATTAAAAAGGTAATAAATAAAATCAACAAGTTATAAGCAATAAGATAGGTATTAAATACATTAAATTAATATAATAAACCATTTATAATAATATTATACAATCTATTTATTAATTTAAAGGTTTAAGTATAAAAAGAATATAAAGGTTAAACAAATCTATATTATTTATTAGGAATAAAAGATAAAATATATACTATATAATCAACAAATAGTTTAATAAAGTTTCATATTATCTAAATTAAATTATATAAAAAAAAAAGGATCAATCTTAAAACCAACCCTATAAAGAACCCGTTGAATTAATATAAGTAATAAAATTAATATAATTTAAACAATCTATTAAGGATATATAAAAGGTATAATCAGTATAAATAATACAAAATATATTATAAAAGAATAAAAGAACAATTTTACTAAAAATAAACAAAATTAAATCAATTACTTCACCAACTATTACACAAAGCAGAAACAAAAAGAAAACCCTTTTAAATTTATCCAAAAACCCTTAGCTCCTATAATTATCAACTTTTTAAGTTATAATTCCTATATTAACAATCTTTTTATAAACAAAAATATCAATTATATTGAATTTGAGGAATGAGCATTAAATCTAACATTCTATTTCCCAGATAATAATAAACTCAATAATATTAAGTATATAAATTACTTCATAATATCTATTAATAATTCAATATCAATAATTTTTATTAAATTAAAATGAAAGAAGATTAATAATTTAATGGAAAATAGTATTTTTTAGTTTGTAAAGATTATAAATATATCTGAAAATATAAGAATATTTAATTTACAGTTTATTAATAAAATGAAAAATAAGAGAACTAACAAGGTATTCCTAAAATCTCGATTAATAATATAAATATAAGAGGATTAAGGAAAAGGTACTATTTTGATATAATCATTTATAATATAACAAGTCAATTAATGAATTATACTATTAGTAATAACTATACTTTTAAAGAGCAAAATGACTATAAGTATTTATAATATTATACAAATATATATACAATTAATATTGAATTTAATCCGAAGGTTTTATATACAATTATTAATGAAGATGGACGTCCCAGAAGGTTTTATTCTGTAAATAATACAATCATTATATAGTATTCTAAAAGCAGACAACTATTAGTTTAATATTTATTATAAGCATTATACTAATACCCTTAAAATAATATAATTAACTTACAATTCATATTTTCTATATATAACTAAGAACAATATAATATTCAGTATTATAAAATTATAAATAGATAATATATTCATTATTATTAATAACAAATTTGTAAATTATAAATAAAGAAAACTCTATAATATTAAGTTTATAATAAAAGAATATAAAACATTTATATCAAATATATTATTCAAATTTAATAACAAATTAATTATTTAATGAGATAATAATATAATTTATTTTAATTAAAAGAATTAATATAAAAACCTATACCTAATTAAATTAGAATTATTCGATATATAAGAAACATACGGAAAACTAAGAAAATCTATAATAATAAATGATTAATATATTATATAATATATTTAAGAAATATATATTATAATAATATATTAATTAAAAGTAGCTTTTGATTTATTTTATATTATATAAACTATTAATCCTAAAGGAAAAGATATCAATTCTCTTAATAAGCATATTCAATAGTAAATTAATAATTCAAAAAAAGGTCCATAATTTGTTCTACTTAATATAGATTTTTTAAAACTAATTATATTCATTAATATATTCTTTACCAATAACAAAGATTTATTCTTTCAAATTAAATATATTATTATTTTAATAAACAAATACAACAAAGCTAATATTATTCATTAGTTATCCATCAAGTATAAGAAAGTTATTAAAAGCATATTAGTATTAGAACTTTATATTATAATTTTAGACTTTAATATTAGTATAACAATTAAAAGCATAATTAACAAGATCTTCCCGAACTATAAGATTCTATTAATCATATCTATCGATTTCAAATCACTTTATAATTGTTTTATAAAACTTAAAATTATTAATGAAAATAAATTAATAATTAATATAATAATGATTTAAAAAGTAGATAAAAAATAAAAGATTATAAAGATCAAATAAATTAATAAAAATTCTAACCCTATAAATATAATAACTAAATTCAAGCTATATCAAGCCCTAAAAGATTTGATTAATAATAATATTATAAAGATTAAAGTTACAAAATAGATTGAAAAAAATTAAAAGAATAAATGATTATATAAATAAAAAAGGTATTAACTAGAAGAATATAATCCAGCAATTTTAAAGAATTATTAGTATTGGGATAAAGATCATATAACTATATTAATATTAATACTAATATCTTTTAATACTACAACAATACATTTTGTAGCCCTAGCTTTTAGAACCTTAAGCAATATAACAATAATGTAAACTATAATACTATATTGACTTCACCATCCCCATGGTGATACCAACACTATCACTTCAATGGTACAAATTAAGCTATCAACTATGCGAATTAGTGTTCATAGCCCCCAATGACTTGAGGGACACCTATATTTCAAAATTGTACTAGAGACAATAAATTGTGGCACTTCAGAAGTTTAGCAACTATCACTTATTTGCAGAATCAAATGGCACATGTAGTCAGGTAAAAGGTGGTAGTTATTGCTATGATATAAGCTAAAAGTCCGAACCCTTTGGGACATAGCAAAACACTCGCTTCCGAAGTAAAGAATCAAATGAGTGTCAATCAGCCAGTTGAGTGTCGCTCATTCCCACGTGATGAAATCCTCTCACACTAGCTAGTTCCCCAACAAAGCCTCCCCCATGCGGTTACCAATGCGAGAGTAGAACAAGGTTCACCGTACTGCAAAGGTTCTCCGCAACATCTACACTGTCACAAAGATTGCAACCTTACTGAGTAACAAAATCAGTGCGGTATACACCGCGGAGTCGCTTTCCGTAAGAGCTATATCGCTCAATTCGATAGTGTTCAGAACTGGTCATGATTTGGTACTCCATGCTCCAATCCTCAAACTTAAGGCCGTTGAAAGCCGCAGCCAGCTTCAATTGCTAGAAGTTGTCCTCGTTGTCAATGTCAATGAGGATGTTGACCTCGGTGAGTGCAAAAGAATTGAGTTGTTCAACGAACTTATTCATGTTATTGACACGTTGCTGATAAACTGCCCGGGATCCGTGCTGCATGGGTTGGATCATCTTAATCTGAACCTTGGTGATGGATGAAGCGTACTCTGGAAGGACCTTCATCAATGCCATCATATCGGTTGGCGGATCAGCGATGAAGTTAAGATCGATGAAAAGCTTCTTCTCATCACCGTTCTCTCTAAGAACGATTGCGTAGTGCTTTTGGATGCACTCATACTGGATAGTTGCAGCCACTTTCTTGGCGTTTTCCTCAGTGATCTTCTTGTCGGCTAACTTCTTTTCTTCAGCAGCCTTCTTCTCCAACTGAAGCTTGTTCCATGCAGCTCTCTTCTCTGACTGCATCTTGTTCCACGCAGCTCTCTGCTCATACCACTCCTTGTCCGCAGCTGACATCTCCGCAGTAAGTTCGTCCTTCTGTTTGTTCTGCTCCTGTGTGATCTTCACAGACATTGGTACAAACTTGGCCTGACCGCGATTGTTCTTATTACCCATCTTGAATTAAAGTAATGGAAGAATGTGATGAGGAAGTTGTTGTTAGGTATTGGTTGAATATCTGTCTGAAAGTTGAAGAACCTATGTACTTGTATTAGTCTATGAAATAGATGGGTAGTAAGAGTGTGGGGAAGTCGTTACCTTCGAGAAAAGAGTATGAAGTGATGAAACTTTGTGAAGTTGTGTGAAAGTTGTAATGTATTGAAAGTATTGTTTGTTCCGGGTGGAAGATGGTAAGTGAGATTGAATGTTGTAAGAAAGATACTTCTAAAAAAAATGGAATTCTAGGGTCGAGAGAGATGCTTATATAGATAATGTATTACAACAGCTCATCTTTCGGTCACGCTAGTGTCTCTAGCGAGTGATTCATTCTAATACATTAAACGAGTCTTGTAATTTTGCCGTACCTGAACCGTAATTACCTAAATCATTGGTATATAATAGTCTAGATAAACTATGACGTGGTTCATTTCCTACATGAATAATGGAGGGAAACATTGTGTATATTCTCTCTGAGATGATTCACTATGGAACTTGTTATAGCTACATTGGCGAGATTTCTATTGTATGAAATGATACACGTATTATTTCTTACCATGTGAAAGTAGAACCAGCCGCTCAAAAGGGTAATACCTGATCTTTTTGGTTAGTTTTCCGGAAAAAATCTCGTTTTTTTTACAGTCTGTGAGTTCTTCCTTCGCCTAATTCCCCATTGATCATTCATTAACTTTAGCTCGCTTAACATTCACCTTCATTACAATCAATACAATGATATTCTAATAAAAAGACATTCACAGATGGAAGCATATAATAATGGTTCTCCAATGAACTTATTAATCAATACTAGAGTTCAAAGTTAGACGAATTGTTCTCATTGTTAAAACAACTTTATTTATAGATCAGATAGAGTACCTGTTACATAGTCTATTGATGCAACTCTAGAGTTTTTAATCACCAGAGTCATCTGCAAAATATATGAAAGGAATTGCTCATTATAAGATCAAGTTTTCAAATGCAACGTTAGTGATTGTAAATAGTATATCACACGACGTTGTTCAACGAATCTGGAAAGAACATGATAAGTTTTCAAGGAAATACTCAGGAATCATGAAGGAATTTAAAAAGGAGGGATAGTACTAAGTGTCAACTCTCAAATAAATTCGAGAAAAATCATTTTTATGACTATCTGAGGATTTATCAATGTTTCATTAGAGCTGAGAGTAGAGAGTTCGTAACACCTTTTGATAAACAACAATACGGTGCCCATGCCATATCCCTGCAATATCTAGTACGCATACTTACTTGACCTAAGTGAAGACGTAATGTCGTTCGCCTTCTCTCCTCAAACGTTTCTATGCAAGAGAACTATTAATTTCATGTTATGTATAAAATTCAATCTAATATGGATTCATGTTGAGGGAATTACAATATCGAGCATGTAGAGATTGTATGATAAGTTACTATTCTGTTAGCTTGTTAGTTAGTTATACGATGTTATCAGTGACAGACTCAAAGTTCATCAATGGCACAACAATTTAAGGTATTGGTTTTTCCATTTAGATGATTCTATCTTTGTGAAAAGTTAGAAAGGCTTTCATAGTCTCTTCCGAAAACATGGCAACCCCGAGGGAAAGCCCTGTTCATACCTTCCCGCATCACTATAATAAATCATACCAATAGCCAGACCGTCATCCTCGTTCTCCACTCCTTGACTCTACCTCACTTCTCCTTGTGAATTAAGAATTCGGCCGTGTATAAATCAGCCGATCTACGGTCCCATGGACTACCAATATCAACACTAAATCTACCATTAACCCTAAGAATCTCCGTAGCCAATGTCCAGTCCTTGAAATTCAAGCCGTATGCCGCAGCTGCGAGCTTCATTTGATTGAAATTAAAGGCGTTGTTGAGTGAGACCACGAATTGGAACTCTTCGATCTTGAATTTGTTAAGGCAGTTGATAGTCCGCATGATGTTCTCGACTCTAAGGTAGTAAACCTCAGAGGATTTATGATATGTCGGAGCTACTAGTCTGAGTTCAACCTTTGTGATAAGATCCGTGTACTTGGAAAGAACAATATTGAGATTGACCTCCTTGTCTGTCTTTTGGTGATGAATGATGCCAATGTTGATGTGCAACTTGACAGTTCCGGTGCCGGCATCTTTGACTACCTTGAGCGCAGAGTGCTTAGGTAGAGTAGAGTAGTCGAAGTTGAAAACACGTTGAAGTGCCAAAGCCTTCTCTTGTGCCAACCGTTGGGTCTTTGCTTGCTGAGCCTGTTGATTCTGTGCTTCCTTTTGCTGTTTGATAGCAAGTTTCTCGGCTGCCTTCTGTTCGGCATAAAATTGAGCTACACGCTTGACTGGTGCTTGACCGCGGGCGTGTTTGGAACCCATCGTGTAGGTTCTAGTGACTTTTTAAGGTGTTAAAAACTATGTGTAGTGTAAACTACGAAAGATTTTGTGTTGAAAGGATGTGTTGAAAGGATGTGTTGAAGAAGCTTGCGAGTCTGAATGTTCTTATTCTTCGTTGTGAATGTGAAGGGTTTTATGGAATGTTTGGAGAATGTACTGTACTATGATTCTGGATTCTAGAAAAAGAAGTGCCCTTAAATACCACTTTGCTAACTGCAGAAAGCTCTTCTACTGGTCCCGAAACAAGTTCATGTATCTGTGCCATAAAATCAGCCGTAACTCGTGCACGTATCGACGTATCAAATTATACCTAGGTATTGCACAGCTAATAGTACGGCTAGCCAGTCACAGTTGTGACATTGCTGATTACTTTATATACACGTATGATTAGTGAGGCTATTCATCAATCGTATCGAAAATTTGACCGTAATGTACCCCGTATTCAAGTTGAGATACATTGTATATCGATTTCTTACAATACGGAATGAGTCTATTAAAAATGCCATAAGTTGCAGTGTCATTTAAGTCAAGCTAACAGCTAGATAACCATAGTTTTGCATGCCTTTTAAACGGTCACAATATAAGTTATTTAGGATTCTAGAGAGTTTCTGAATGTTTTCGTAGTTGGGATTCACTTAACTCCAGGGAATCTCCAGAGTATTATTGTATCGTGACACTATGAACATTTTGTTTCCACAGCACGCTACTTATCTTTCTGTCATAGTCCGATGAGCTTTATCAACTTTCACGCTCTCATTTGGCTGTTGATCAAGATGGAGAAATCCCTGTAGTATTCTTCTATATGATATACATTTCTATTTCCGAGTTTCTCATGATCACGACTTGAAGAAATCATTATTTTGTTGGATTGTCTTGTACACACACGTCGTCTACTATCAGGTCGATGTCACATCTAGTTCAGAATTTAGGCTGACTATTTGATGTTAACTTTGATATTGTATTGATAATACTACTAGAGGTCCGTGATATCCCCAATATTCGTAGCTCTTCGCATGTAACCAATGCCCATCTATAGAACCTTTTGAGTCAAAAACTCACTCCTATATAAGTCAACTACCCCACTTTCCGACCACCCCCTGTTTCCGACCACCTAAAAAATTCATATTATCTACACTTAAAACTTTAATAACTCAATAACTATTGAACTTCAATGAAATCGCCTGTAGAATCACTTTCTATAGCACTAGAGCTATCATCTACCTCATCTTCACGATCTCCAGCTTCAATTTGTGTACGCCTTATAGCTCTAATCCCTGCGAACTTCGAATTTGGAGATACCACAACCTTTCGCCTTTTTCTAGGTAATGCTTCATCTAATTGATATTCTAGCTTTCTAATCTTATTCTCTGCCTCTAAGAGTTCATAATCCTTAGCATCGAATCCTTTTATAATCTTGCGAAATAGTAATCTTCGTGTTGGCAAATCGATCTCCTTCTCTTGAATCATTATATCTCTATATTTTCTGATATCGGCTCCTTTTTGAGGGGTTTTCCATTGAATAAACGATGAATATATATTCCATTGAAGAATAGGATCATCATCAGATTCAGGATTAAGTGATAAAACCTCTCTATTGCTATTTTCAAGCAAAAGTCGACTCATAAGAGGTTTAGCCATATTTTTGGGCCAAAGACCACTAGCTTGCCACCCAGACTTGATATTTTGAATAGTTAAACCTTCTATTCTAGCCTTCTGATAGCAAGAAAGGAAATTGCGCTTTCCAATTGGTGAGGAATCGGATAATAGACTTAATTTATTAAGTTCGATTCGATATGCACTTTTTAGGGGTGAGAACACAGATAAATCGAGTGGTTGTAGTACGTGTGACGTATGTGGTGGGAGAAGTAAGAGATATACGTTGTTATTAAAGCATTCTAACATAAATGCTGTAGTTTCATGGCTTCCGTGTCCGTCCAAAATGAGGAGTCTTGAATTTTCCGGCTGAATAGGGGTAGTTTGAGGGATATAGATCTTTTTCAGCCATTCTAAAGCTGTAGCATCTGTAGTCCATCCATTTTCTGTAGCGGTAAAGTTCCAACCCTTGAATAGAGTCAAATCTGTTGGAAACCATTGTTGTTGAACTGATTTTCCCTTATATATTACAAGGGGAGTAATGCTTTTTCCATTGGCTGAAATGCATTCTATAAAAGAGGTCCAAATTCGAGATCCAGGTTGCTTTTTTTGAATAAATCTTCGATCAGTGCTTCCTACTACTAGTCCATTAAGACCCTGACCCTCCATTATACCTGCTTCATCCATATTCCATCTGTTGGCCGGCTTAATAGCCTTGATTTCAGGGATTGCGAGGTTCCGGAACCACTTCTTAATAATATCAGATGTAGCACCTGAAACTCGTGCAGAATCGATTTGATGTTGCTTCTTAGTTCCAATATTAGGATGCCTTCGAAAAAAGCTATGTATCCATTTCTTTCCAAGTGAGGGATCCTCCCCTCGTACAATAAGGAGGTGCTCTGCCATCTCTCTGATTTGACGATGTGTAGGGCTAGTACCAAGAGCTTCCTGTACTAATATCCATTCTGCTAGTCGATTCTCCTGAATTGGAGATAACTTTTGAAGTATTTGGGCGCCTTTTTGATGCGAAACTCCACCATATATTCGATCGTGAAGTGTGGTACGTGGAACACCATAATCCAAGCTAGCTCTTCGTATGCTTGCTCCATTTGTAATCGCTCTAAGAGCCTCTGCGATATCTTCTTCGGTATATCTATTCTTCATATCACAATTATAATAATATCAAAATTTCAAATCAATTGATTGAAGCGTTGTTGAGTTATTCAAAGTATAAATTTTATAATTACTCAAAGCGGTGTGGTTTTTGAGGTGGTCGAAAAGAGGGGGTGGTCGGAAAGTGGGGTATTTGACTTAGAAGGTACTTTAAAAGATTCTTTGCAAGGAAGGATCAATGAATTGCTTACAACTCGCAAGCGATTCCTAAAGAACAAGATAACCACTGAGAAGAAAATGCGTAAGATGATTGAGAATGGACTATTCGATCATAAAAAGTCTTCCAAAAATTTAATTTGAGTCTAATGGGATGTTATTTAATGCTTCTTATCAAGATATCGAGAACGATGTGTGAATCAAACTATATTAGAAACAATGCGAACGATGCAATGATAATGAGTATAGCGAATATATCACTGGAGTGAGTTTTCAGTATCTATATTATGATTCATGTTGAGTCTTTTATTCATGATTACGGAATCAAGATGCCAAAACGTATAGAGTTTCTGGAAGATACGGAATATTAGCACTTCTACACAAATGCTTGCAAACAGGATCCGTTGATTTCTGGCATTCAAGAGCCTAGTACGGCTCAAAGTGCCTACTGTGGATATAGGGGGACTAACTACACACGGCCTCGTAGCTCTAGTAGTAACCCCCAGTTGATGCCGGGTTGATCGGAATCAAGGGATATTTGGTCCGTGTGGTTGTTGGGTAGTAACCTGTTATTATGATGATATTGGCAGGAAGTGGGCTATGACAGCTTTAGCAATAGTGGTTGTCCCATGGTCGTACGATTATTTGCTTCGGCGCTTATCTACGAATATCTGGAGAAGCCTACAGAGAAGAGGGCATGGTAAAGTCAGGAAGATGTCGAAGCATTCGCTGCCAAGCATGCCGAAATGCCTATCAACGATCACCTCAAGGTCAAGGACGTCTTTGCCAAAAAATATCATGCAGGCATGTCAAATCTGGAGGAAGGGATTGTCGAACACTGGAACTGGGGCCGCATTGTTCTTGCAGGTGATGGGGCACACAAGTTCACCCCGAACCATGGGCAGGGACTCAATAACGGCAATCAGGACGTTGTTGCTCTAGTCAACGAGTTGCATCGATGTATAGAATCTGTCGGAGCCAGTAACCAGCCTTCCAAAGAGGAGCTAAGCATTGCATTTCAACGCTGTCAGTCTACTCGCATCGAATATGTGAAGTCTGATTACAACCTTTCCGCAGCAGTGACCCGGATGTCTGCTTGGCCTAATTTCTTGTATGGACTGCTGGATCGACATGTAATTCCTCTGATACCGAGTTTCGACGATATGATGACGAATCATTTCGCTGCCACGCATATAGTTCAAGGGCGGATCTTGGACTTCGTACACAGCGAAGAAGTTTTCAAGGGCAAGGTTTCCTGGGTGTATCCGATCAAGGCTTAATACGTACATGATTTGCGCTCAAGTATAATTAATAATAGATAACATTCAGTTTCGTGCTTTTGACTTGAGATTTGAGAAGTTTATATATGCTTGAATCAGTTTTCATTGGGATTAGCTGGTAATTTAAGTGTCATGAAAGCATCTTATCAAGTCCCAACCACCTTGTCAAGTCTATCGTTGATGAAAGAAGTCCAATATTCCAAGCCAACCTTATATTATGACTCTCAGTAAGAATACACCTCAACTTCATTGATCACTATTATCATCCCAAAAATCCCAAAAATCACAATCTTATATCAATCTTTGTATAATCATCATCTCATCAATCGATTTATGTTATACTAAAAAGCCTCAGAATTTCAGCCTTTAATAACTAGAAGCTAATTGCCTCAGATGATAGATATAGCTACTTACAAATCTCCAGTGATTTCATGTTTGCTTCTTTTCATCTGTTTCAACAACAATGCTCTCCCACTCTCGCCCATTTCATCTCACATTCGGATTTCTTATTTGGGGTGCTGAGATGCTTGATCTGTGGCCTGCTTCCGTTCCGTTTTTGATAATAAAAGCATTTCGCTCAGTGCGATCAGTAAACGTGGCCACTTGTCGCCCAAGATCCGAATCACACAGAGTCACATATTGAGTTTGAGTTGTGGGATCGAGACAACCATATGCATTTGGTGTTGCTCTTTTATCTTCGTTTGACATATTGACTGCTGTTCGAATGCGGATGAATAACGTAAGTCATGGCGTAATGCGTCTAATGGCGTAATGCGTCTAATGGCGTAATGCGTCTAATTGCGGGGAACCACTCTATTAAAATCTCAATTACTCAACAATCAACTATAATACAATCTCCAGTATCACTTTCAGATTCATCTTCAACTTCTTCTCCAATATCCTCTTCAGTTTCAGTTTCATATTCAATTACTTTCCCTTTCCCTTTTCCTTTTTTCATTGTCTGTACCTTAGTAGCTTTTTCGACTTCCACTACTGCATCACATAATTCTTGCGTAGAAATATGAAAATGACCCTTCAAAACTAGTCTCTTTCCTTTCTTACGTATCGTACGTTTCTTCATAATAGCTCGTAAATTATTCGCATCGTGTTGGTGAACAATACTTTGAGCTCGAAGTTGCTCACTCCCAATCGTCAATTTTCGAATGTATTGACGAACCGGGGTTGAAAGAGTCGTATCATTTTCAATTGTTGAATTTAAAAGGTTATTTGCTGTTTGTAAGATTGCTACATCCGGGGGTGAGCTATTGACGAAGACTTGGTTAAAAATATCAAATTGGGTTGGTTCTTTGGATATTTCGACTTCGGGGGTAAACTCTCGACCCAGTGTACGGAACACTCTCTGTGGATTAAATGGATGTAACCCAGCTCCCCGCCATGCCGATTCGATATTTTGATGATGGCATACGTCGGCTCGAGCTTTAATATATGCCTCCATCCATTCAATCTTTTGTATTCGTACAAGTTGAGCTTGATTCAAATCAGAAAGTGCTGCGGTGAGCCGTTTTTTCAATGGACCGAAAACCGCAACATCAAGTGGCTGAAGCAAATGCGAGGTATGAGGAGGAAGTATAAGAAGTACAATTCGATTTTGAAGGCAGTGAGCTATAAAGCTTCCACTAATATGAGAATCGTGGCCATCGCAGATGAGAAGCCGATATTTGCCACCTGCTTTTGCACGAGTTGCAGGTTCGAAAACGCGTTTTAGCCATTCTAATCCATGAAGATTGCTTGTCCAGCCCTTTGTATTTGCTGAAAAGAACCAGCTACCAAGAACTTCCTTCGGAATCCAATTTTGAAGGACATTTTTACCTTTAAAAATCCCGAGTGGTGGAAGAATGGATCCATCCGCACAAATACACTCTACCATTGAAATCCACTCTTGACGGCCTGGATGTGCTTGATGTTTTGTACGAAGTGTAGAATCGATAATAATTCGAGTTGATTCCATTGTCCCAATTGAATGTCCAGATTCATCCATATTATATTCGTCTTTCTTCTCAATTCCATAATCCTGAATCGCTTTTTGATACGCGTCAAACCAAGTACTACATGTTTCCCTGGTTGCACCATCCATTCTTACAGATTCAATTCGACGGCCAATAACAACTGTAAGATGAGGATGTCGTTTGATAAATCGTGGAACCCATTCATGACCAAGAAGGTGTTGTGGTGGGAGTTCAAGGGAGTCAAATGAGGGGCAATCCAAATTATAAGTCCGTTTTGAACGTAACTCCTCAGCCAATTCTTTTAACAACTGATGGCCTGGTGAATAGCCGCTAATTGTCAATTGCTTTATCCACTTAAGAAGTACATTCTCTTGTACAGCAGAAAGTTTCTGTTGCGATTGACGTGCTTCAGAACGCGATGAACCCCCTTTGACGCGTCGCGTCACAGTATCTTTAGAAAGCCCCAGTTCTTTTGCAGCTTCATATAAAGACTTATACTTTCCATTTTGAACTCCTAATACTGCTTCAGAAAGTCGAGATTCCATTTCCTGCACTTTTAAACTTTTTCGACGGACCATTGTTGAATTGTTGCTTTTTTGATGGGGTGGTCCCCCACAATTAGACGCATTACGCCATTAGACGCATTACGCCATGACTTACGTTAGTTGAAATAAAATGTAGTCGTAATAGAAGAAAATGAATCAATACTAATTGTAGCGGGGCGAAATGACACAGTGAATTGTATTGAATTGAGCATTGTATGACTTATGTACCTTAGAAGAGCTAATGATGTCATAAACTTCCTTGCTTCTTTTAACAGATGCCAGAGGAAAGTATTCCTCTCACAGAATTCCGATTCGCTCGCCTATATAGTATCCTAAAAACGTATTACAGATGTAAGCAGGTGAAAAAAACCTTGAGGGGAAATCTTGAGCATGAAGGAATATAGAAAAAAAGATTCTTATTTATATACAAAATAATTTCGAGGATTCAGAAAATTTTAGAGGTTTCGAGAAGCTCGTTGTGTTGATGAATAAGCACAAGATACACAACACAACTTTCGAAAACGAACATAACCTCAGGGAAATTTCTGGACATACTACTATCTATCTTCATACCAATACCAAAGAATCCAAAGCCAGATTTTTTATATAGTGTATGTGTACCTACTCGCAATTTATCTCACAAATCTTGGATTCTCTTCCCTTTTGAATATTCTCTAGTAGTCGCCTAGAAACAAATCACCGACTCAAATCGGTAATCGCAGTTCTCCATGAGTACACGGGGTATCACTACCTTCCTGCCTGAAAGTTATACCTGGCGAATATTCGATTCGTGCTTGTATTGTCCACATTAGCTCATATGATTTATATCGTTAATTGAGGTCATATTGTTTGTCAATACGATAGTTACTCTTAAGGGTAATGAAATACAATTGAGTATTGATGGTTTTTATATCCGCAATTTCCATGGACTTTGGCCTCGGAACCTTACTGCTGTGCGTGGGTGGTAGTGAGAAAGGGGATAAGATAGGAGAAATGAGGAGTGATCGCTACAATAATAGAAGCGGGAAATAGTAGTGACTGTGATGATGTTTGTCTAGTGAAGGATGAGAATGCACCTTGAGGGGCTTTCTGGATAGTTTAGTGAGGATTGTTATGAACGGGATGAGTACCAAGATGGAATTGGCTCATGCAGAGGATATCAAAAATCTGATGACAGTAGATTTGAGTGGGAGATGAGAAGTTGATTGTTAGAATGGCAATTCGAGAAGTGAGGGCGTGGGGATTTAGAAGAAGAGAATTGAAGGGTAGAAAGGTCACCCCATATTTGTGCTAGGTCGGAAGTGTTACGGGAGCTGCCTCTAGGGTCACGTGGAAGTGTCTAGAGTTCTCTCGAGGTGGTTTAGACTAAACTTCAAGTAGGAATTCAATAAGGTTGGTAACTGGTTGCAATTCTCGTAACTATAGTAATGAAACTAATGATTGTTCTTGAGCACGAAGCTCTACATTGTAATGAAACCCATTCCCTTATATAGACCTTCGTTCTCTCTCCTGGTCCCTAGGACCTCTCCTATATGTTGGATCGTTAAGGATCGCAACGCGCTCCAGGAGCGCTGAAGCTCCTTGACGCTCCATCACGTGTAATTTATGTCATGTGACGCGGTATGTTGGATGCCGTCGTAACACTATCCCCTTCTTATCCTAGCGCTTGTCCCAAGCGTTATATAGTAACGGCTTACCCCACTTCGGAATATAGTCGTACTATGGTTTGTTTCTCTCAATATGACTGATAATTTTCACAAACGAAAGGAAAGATTGCGCTTAGCTCGTCTTGTTGAATCTCGCGGTCTCGAAATGTCGTCTTGTTCTTTGTGTGAACGCCAAGAGCGCAAATGTGTTGTATCTTCTCCGGACTCTTCCCGGTGTGCTGAATGTATCCGCCGAGGGCGTAGATGTGACGTTCGTGGCCCTTCTGATAGTGATTGGGATAGTCTGGACCGCCAAAAGGCCAGACTTGAGGAGGAAGAAGAACGCGCTATAAGTGTTTCTCAGGAAGCGATGGCTAAAGTTCTTCGTCTGCGGAAACAAAAGCGTGCTTTGTTGAAGCGTGAATCCGATATGCTGCGCCGTGGTCTGCGTACTTTAGATGAGCTCGATGCTCTAGAAGAGAAGGAAAGGTTAGAAAATGAGCGTGTTGAAAAAGAAAAGGAATTGGCGTCTGTCTCTGTTGCTGGCCCTATCGACGGTTCCTTTGTTTTCGATTCTTCTTCCTTGGATCCTTCGATCCTTGCTTCAATGGATTCTCCTTCTTTCTGGGCAAATCCGGATATTGCTGGTGGAACGCCTCCAACTTCTCAGGGCAGTTGAGGTTTGTTCTTGGTTCCCATGAATTTTCGGTGTGTGGGTAATCTAACCATTTGATCAAATATTTGATTGTGCCTCTGACGTATTTACAATCTAGTATTGTTTCGACATCATATATGGCGTTCGGGTTGACTGGTTCGATTTCTGTAAATGGCGCTTTCGGCGC